TACTTTCCTATTGCATAAACAAAGCCATTATTTTTTTTTGGTAAAGAGAGGTTTAAGGGTTTTTTTGGTAAAAAGTTTTAAGGGGGCGTTATTTTTTTGGATTTTGAGAGGGGAGAAAGTAAGTCAAGAGGATTTTGGTTCCCAGTGATCAATAATCCCATGTTCTTTTATTAGATTAATGTGGGGACCAGGGAAAGTTTATTTTCCTAGGTATCACTTACCCCCATCTTCTAGGTGGGTAATAACTTTTCCACTTGGGGGGGGGTAGAGTTTCCAACACTTGAATGGGACAAAATTACCCCTTTTAATACTGTATTTTTATGGCTAAAATGGTCATTTCCTTTTTTTTTACTTGGGAAATAAAAGAACATGGGTAAATACACTTACCTAGGTAAGTGTTTCCCTACCCAGGTAATTGTATCTACCCGAGTAAATCAAGGTTTTTAAAACCAAACCGAACAACGAACCGATTAGGGGTTTGGTTCTCGGGTCAAATGGTTCAACTATTTGAACCGAATAAAAAACATCCAAGTCGTTGAATGGTTCGAACGGTTCGACTGCCCGAGTCAGCGATTTGTTGATCAAATCAATGACTTTTGGGGAAATAATGGTTCTGGAGTAAAACGGAACCGGTCACCTGACCAATTCCCACTTTTTCTAGTCTGATTGTCCAGTCTGATTCAATTTTGAAACCCGGGGTAAATAACATAACGAAAAATGAACAGGGCCTAAGAGTTTTCTTTTGGTTAAAAATTTACGGGTATTTCAATCATCCAATTGATAATTTTATATAAAGAAAAAATTAGTATTATAATATGTTTAAATCCAATTGATAATTTCAAAAAAAAACCCAGGGAAGAAGGTTGAAGGGGTTTACCCATTTCTTTTTTAAGAATGATTATAGAATCAAGATATTGAATTCTAAACTTGATCGGCTGTGAAGCAAAAAGACCTTATGAGGTAGTGACAATGGTCATCGTATAGGCAGGAATCTCAGTGCACCATCTCCGGTTCCCATGGCACTTTTCCTGATCAAACAGAGTAGTTTGATCGGGCTGATACCCGACCAAGAAGCAAAGCAAGACTGAAGACTCAAGTCAACGACATGCCAAAGAAAGATGATAATGGACAATTCGTGAGTGTAATTGTTTCCAATGTTTTAAGACCTAAACTGAACCGGTCGGTCAGATTATTAGACCTGGGAATTGGAGGCCATGCCATTATATTTTTTTGTTTAATCTCGGGTTTGAAAATTCTGAAAAACCGGCAGAAACGATCAAAACCTAGCTGGCTTTTGACTTAAAACAAGATTTGAACCCCTTGGGACCAGAATTGATATTAACCTTATTAGGGCTGTCAATGGGTCGGTCTGATCCTATGGATCCGAACTCACCATTTGATTTTCTCGTGTGTCAATGGGTCGGTTTGACGCATGGTGAATTTGTCAACTATATATATTAACCTTTTAGAGTGGATTCATTGACGAACTCACCATTTGATTTACCATTCACACAGCTCCCTCTGTTGGAGCTGTTGAAATTATCCACACGAGAAGTTGATGAAGTGGCATGTTCATCGGAAAAAGAGTCCTCACTTTATGTGTCATTTGCCCGGGAGTGTTTAGAATCCAATTTCACCGACTTGCCATCAAAGCTCTTCTTCAAGCCATTGGTAAGCATCCCCCTTGAAGAAAAGGAGAAACTTTGAGACATATTTGGCCTCTGAGTTCGAGAAAATGAAATTGGAAATTCCCAATTAGCTTTGATCCTTTGGTGTTCTATGTTCTTCAAGCCATTGTCACGACCAGCTCCAATTTTCTAAAAATACAGATCATCATATCCATGTCTCCTCACGGACCATACCCAATCATTCATCCAACAGAAACAATTCAAATGAATATATGTATGTTAGATTTTACCTTTATGCCCCTTTTATTTTTCGGTAAGTTATTTATGCGGGTAAATGTATTTATTTGGGTAAGTATTTTTTAAAAAAGACTTATGCAGGTAAGTGCATTTATCCATGTTCTTTTATTTCTCATATAAATAAGGCAATGATCATCTTAGCCATAAAAATTTCATTATTAAAAGGAGACATTTTTGTCTCATCCAAGTATTGATAACTTTTTCCTAAATGGGAAAGTTAATTTACACACCTAAGGAGATGGGTATCACTTACCATTTACCCGAATAAGTAATACCCAGTAAAATAAACTTTCATTAATCCCCACATAAATCTGAAAAATGAACATGGGTTTCTTGGTCAATGGGAATCAAAATCCTATTGACCAACTTTCCCCCTCTCAAGATCCAAAAAAAATAACGCGCATTAGACCCTTTTGTTATTAAAACAGTCTTAGAAACTCCATTTACTTGCGACATATCTACACCATTGTCAGCGTTCTCATTTTACTTGTTTATATTCAAAACTACATTTTCCATGGGATAAGTTTCCTCAACAACACCATTGTCAATGGGAGAGGTTTCCTCTCCTACTTAACAACACCGTTGATCGATTCTGCCTTTACAATCAGACTCTATAATTCAAATTGAAAATCTCTTTTGGGTTCTTAAATCTTACAAGCACTTTGGAAAAATCGGGGGCGACCAAGACGAAGGAGGGCCTGTTGTGTCGACACGTAATCATTCTACCCATCTTTACAATCTTGCCATGTTTGAACCATCCAAATTCAGATATTGAAAGAGTGTCCCTCCTACCATGGTTTTTAAAATCGGACTGGACCAGATGGTCGGACCCGAAAAATCGGGAACCGGTCAGGTGACCAGTTCCATTTTCCCTCCAAAACCGGATTTTCTCAAAAAAACGTTGATTTTAGTTAGCAAATCGCTGAATCGAGTGATTAATCGTTTGAACGATTTTGACCATTTTTTATTATTTTAAATTTTTTAATTTTTTGTCAGAACAGTCAGCCCGTTCGACCCAGTAACCGGATCCCTGACTGGTTCGGTCTCTGAGTCGGTTTTAAAAACCATGCCTCCTACTATTATGGTCCTGCTAACGCTTTTTACATACCTCCTGTGTCTAGATTTCTAAATCTCTGATATAAAATTTACAGATGCAGTTTGAGAAGGTTGCTGTTGAAGTTGGATTGGGGGTGGCAACGGCGGACTTAGAGCAGAGGGTGGTCTCTTGTCTTTGTTGATGGACTTTCCCTGAGAAACACAACGTACGTAGAGGATGAAAGGGGAAAGAGATTGTAGTCAGTTGGGTTTTATTTTGAAATTTTGAAGAATAATGGAGGACAAATTTAATATTTTATTCTTTTCCGATAGCACTTACCAGCCATGTCAATTGTATGATACTTTAAGACAATATGTAAACAATAAAGATAGAGTTAATCAATTAGCTAAACCATAAGGATAGTTTAAAAAATTTGTCCTTTGAATTTTTAGGTTTTCACGAAATATAAATATACAATTTTGATATTTTTGTGTGAGGCCCAGCTCAGATTACTAGTAGTGGCATCCCAAAAGCCCTCTCAAACAAGCACTTAGCCTAACTTGTGGTACTAGGCTGTATTTGAGAGTTCAGTTTTTAACTGGGCTTAAGAAGCACATTTTATTAGATAAATGCATGGTGCCATGTCCTAAAACAGGTATTTCCTTTATGAAAGGGCTTCAATTTTTGTCTTATTCTAAATGATAATTTTGAGTTTTTCACCAAACACCATTTCCGGCTTGTTTGAATGCTTTTGGTTTCTAATAAGCTATAAGCCCAATAAACGCTTAATATAATCACTCACAAACGCAGCATCCAAGGCTTGGCCTGGAGGTCCAATTACTGGGATTCAGCTTTGGCCTTGGCCCAATCAGCCAAAGAGCATTGATCATTATTGTTGCCTGCTTTCTAATTCTACGTGTAGGCGAAACCCTCAAATTTTAGGTAACCAGAGAAAAGGTTGAAATTGTTTGGTTAATGAGTAATCTGATAATCAAAATGGGTGGAAGTGGATAGTATCAGCTATAAGTTAGCACCCCCACCATGTCTCTTAAAAAGGCATTCAACTTTAAGCAATTGATGGCATGTGTATCTCCCACAGGGCACAGGTTACTCTCCTGTTCCTGTGTGGCTGTGTCCTCTTCCTCACCAGTGTTATTGAGATGTAAACCTTCCGAATCGAATAATACATGAAACAGCATGCTCGGCTTATCTGTAATACGTATGGACTGTGGTGTATATTCATTCACAAATCACTTTTTATTCTGAACCGCTGAGGTGGGCCTTGCTCATTTCTTCTTAATCAGTAGGGATGCCAGTGGGCTGAGTTAAGTGGTAAATCCAGGTTCAGAGTCACGTCAGCATTAATGGAGTTTTGGGTTGGATTCGGCTGAGGTCAATACGATACGAGACAGGATTAACTGAACGCAATAGCTGTTCGACAGGCTGTGGGGCCAATGATAATCTCCACTCCACACCAGCCTTTAAATACATGGGGCCATGACCATTCAGCCTGTCAGTGGTTCCACAGTCTGCTACACAGCCAATGCCTTCAGCAATTCAGCTAGCTAATCCGAATTAGATCAATACATGCCAAACCCCATCGGTTTCGGTTGAATCATATGCATTTAACCACTAATCCATTCATTTACCAAGAATCAACGTAATCTTTAAATTTCAATTTCAGAAAGACACAAGTCATTTTGTTAATTTTCAAGAAAAACAAGCAACAGGTTCATCATCATGATATCAGTCTACAATTATAAATATATATATATATATAGTACCTATCTCCAGTTTCGTCATAAAACTATACAAACTCAACATCCCTTTTTTTCTCCTTTTTATTCATCGAGAAATTTAGATGAAGTGCCAATTGCAGATGTAATTAAATTATCAAATACAAAAACCAAAATTATTAATCACAGAGGAACCAAGGAAATATTATGAATGCGCAGAGCGAATGACAAAGAAAAGAGAGGTGAAGCGGAAGATTGATCAACCCACAATGAGATTATTGGTTGGGATGGGGCTCTTCTGTCTCAGTATAGAAGCCGAAGCTGAGACCTTTGACATTCTAGCTTGGAACCCAGATGATGCCTTCCTCTAGAGCCAATGGCTCGAACCACTTTGGGAAATTCCACGAACCCTTTGATCCCTCTCTTTATGTGAGGATTTTCTGCTTCTGGTGATGCTCTTCTATGGTTTGTCGTCGAACGAACAACACCGCTATTTTCAGTAGAATTCGAATTCCCACATAAATCCAAACCCATGGTTTTGGAATCATTAATAGTAACAGAATCAGTAGTGGTAGCTGTCAAGGCACCCTCCCCTGTGTGGTTCTTCAGCTCAACTTTGGCTGTTGATGTATCAACTGAAACACCTTTGGATGATAACTCTAACAACTTTTCCTCAAAGAGAATCTTTGCTTCAGCCAGCTTCATTTGAACTCTCTCTTCCCGCAACACCTCAGCCACCCTCAGCATCTTCTTCTCCTCCTCTATCTCTCTCTTCATCCGACGGATCTCCTCCTTATCGGATGCAATCTCCTCCACCAGCTCTTGGCAAATACGTTCCATGACTTGTCTTCCTTTCCTCTCCTCTGAGAGCTCTTTGGTGAGTCTCTTGTTAAGGGACTCGACCTTCTTACGAACCTTGCGTTCCAATTCAAGCTCTGCTTTCAATTCGGCAACCTGAGCTCGAACGTTGTCGACCTCGGAATCCATGACTGCAGGTTTGAAGAAACTGAGACCCCAAAGAGAAACGGCGATCTTGCTAGCCGAGAGTGGAAGTTGGGGACGACAACGATGGTGTTGATGATGACGTTGATGTTGATGCTGATTTTGATGCTGTTGAGAATAATAAAATGGGTTTTCGTAAAGTTTCCAGCTAGGGAAAGTGGTGGTGGCGTTTTGGATTCTGAGAGCTCCTGAGCTTCTAATCAACTCCATCATCTCGTCCATAATGTTTGTTCTTCTTTCTCTGATCGATCGATCGACTGTGTTTTTCTTTGATACTTTTTCTCTTTTTCCCACAGCAGATTTCTCTGTCAAGACTCAAGAAAGTAAATGGGGTTGGCCCATATCTCTCCAGCCATTTGCTTTTTGCTTCGGTGGATCGTAGGCGATGTCACATGCACCTTGCCTCTAAAATCTTAATTAAAGCTGGGGAGGTGGTGACTGATAGATATAGACCGGTACTCGTCGGTCGTCGCCCAGGTTTCAAGAGTTCAAACTTCAAACTGCTATGGATCGGTCCATGTCTTCTCGCTTCCCTTTAATAAGATGAGGGTAAATTACAAAGACCCCCCCGCTATTATGGGCAGGTCAGTAACATATTCCCCTGTACTTTAGCAAAGAGCCCCCTGAAGTTTTACATTGTGACAAATACCGCCTCTATTAGTGTTCTAACGATTTTATCTTTTAAATTTTCAAATTGTCATCTTTAGAGTTCGACTATGATACTGAAAAGATACCATATCCAAAAACTTCTGACCAATCAATAGAATCATAAACGTAATAATTAATCAGGTGTTATTTATCAAAATTCACTGGTGAATTCTAAGGATCAACAATTCTTGAAAACATTTGTTCTCATATGGTTAAAGTAGTTGGGGTGGCATACGTGTATATTCCCTTTGCAACAACAATAAAAATGCCTTCTTCTCCAATAATGACATAAAAGAAGCAAATGGATTTTTTAGTATTGCTAGAGAGATTCTTCTACATTCGGCGATGATGTGCTAGATGTCTCTTTATCGATGAAATAGTGGCAATAAATTTTGATGAATAACAATCTAGGGTTCTCATCAAATACTTCTCCAATGGTATGCTTATATAGAGTTTCCCTGTCTGGGTTTTTAGAGTTTCTCTCTCTACTTTGAGAGAGTCTTCATCTCAGGGTTTTCTTGGTTATTTCTCTTCATCCACCCTCCCCCTCTTCTATCATTCTTCTTTCATCTTTGTTGGTTTCCGTCGTCCTTCTTTAGTCTTCGTCCTTCTTCTATCGTCTCAAGGTTTCTTTGGTTTCTAGAGTCTCCATCGTCCTTCTTCTGTCTTCCGTCATTTTTGGGGTAACTCCCCTTTCTTTCCTTCTCCCTCTCCCCCTCTCTTCTCCGTTCTTCTATGTTTTTCCACTTCTTTGCTTCTCTGCTTCTTTGTTCTTCGTCTACTTCTCATTCTATCCTCTCACTCATTCATCTCTTTTATCTTTTGTTTTTTCTTTCTGTTCTTTTATGCAAGGATTTTGATACAAGAGGCCGACTCTTCCTTGAAGAATTTGGTGTTGGGCGGTAGCCTTCATCGCTTCTTTGGCTTTCACCGTTAGTGGCTGTTTCCAAAGTGTATTTCACCAGCGGTTACAGTTCTACATGATTACAGTTCCGGCAATTACAGTTTCAGTGGGTACAGTTCCGGGTGGCTCTAGTTTTTTGATGCGAGTGGCTACTATCTTTATCCCTCACTTTCGGTGGATGGAAATGCACTCAATTGTTTATTCTATTGGTGATTTTGCCTCACCTTATAACGATTGTAGAAGTTCTTTTTTTTTTATTGTTCTCCTTTATCCACAATCTATATTTTGTTCTTTCTAAAGATTTGTATATGTGCTTTTTTGCTTGGTACTGTAATTACTTCTCTGTATTCTTATAAGTTTCTTTTAATTTGAATGAAATGTGATTTTTGCCTTAAAAGAAATGATATGTTTGTATAAATTAAGGTTTAGGAGAAAATCAGAAAATAAATAAAGAATAGACACAAGGGAGAATGGTTTTGCCTATTTTCGTTTAAAAATATCATTTCAAAATCCTTAAATTAGAAAAGGGTATTTTGATAATTTAAAGACTTCCATCAATGAAAAGTCTTTATCGTAAAAGTTTAGGGGGTTTGTCGAAAATGAAAGTAGAGGGGTATTTGTCTTTTTTTTTTTTTTTTTTTTGAAAATGAGGGGTATTTGTCATTGATAAGGATGGCAACGGGCCGGGTATGGGGCGGGGCACCCTCTCCCCGTCCCCGTCCCATGGCTAAAATCCCCGCACCCGTCTCTGCCTTGTCCCCTGTATTGGGGTAAAAATTCAACCCCCACCCCGGGCCCCGTCAGGGATGGGGAATTCCCGTCATGTACCCACCCCGTAACCTTCCTATTCAGACGGTCTAATTCTATTCTTGGATGGACGGGCTCTAGGGTGTGAACAAAAGAGAAAAGGAATTACACAATTACAAACAAAATGGCAAAGAAGTTGGCTGCCAGTGCCAGACTGAGAAACAGAGAATGAGAGAAAGTGAGAACTGCGGTGGTTGGCGGTTCTATGGTGGCAGCGGCGCCCAAGGACGAATACTTGTAAATTACAACTAGGGTATACTTGTAAATTACAACTAGGGTCGGGGCAGGTTCGGGGATTTATAGGCAGACCCCATCCCCACCCGTCCCCGGTCCGGGGAAAAAAATTCCCCAAACCCGACCACATGCATTGTGACCGGGGAAAATCCGGGAATGGTCCACATGCATTTGCCACCCCTAGTCATTGACGCCATGGGTTTTTGTCATGGTTTTCAAAATCGGGAACGGTCACCTTATCGGTTCTATTTTTCTTCAAAACCATTAATTTTGGTCAATAAATCGCTGAACCGGCCGGTTAATCGTTCAAACCACTGAAACGGTTTTGACCATTTTTTAATTTTTTAATTTTTATTTTTTTGTCAGAACGGCCCATTCGACCTGGTAACCGGACCCCTGACCGGTTCGATCGCCGGGTCGATTTTAAAAACCGTGGTTTTTGTATTATCTATCAAACGTTCAACGGTCCCATTCAATTTATTTGAAATTTTAAAATGTTGGGGTGTTTAATCATTTTCATCGCTATTTGCTACTGCCCATTCCTATATTAATTAGTGATAAATCTGATATGTATGGTGACTAGCAACTCATCATCACAAGCGTCCGCTAAGTGGGGAACAATTTGATCGTAAAGAAAAAAATATATATTATGATTCAGATATTACATTCCATTCGGGTATACAATCTATTTTCAACTCATGACAAATGAAATGCCGTCGTCCAGCACAACAGTTCATGATTCATGAGCCATGATTTCAAATAATTTATCATTTACGATACGTTTGGTTTTCAGTTAGAATTGAAATGGAAATTAGAATTTAAAATCAGTTGGAATTGGAATTGGAATGGTCTATTGTCAAAGGATGGAATGAGTTTTTTCTTTCAAAAAATGAGAGAATGTCATTTTATCAGGAATGAGAATGAAATTTCAATTCCCATAAACCAAATGGTCCCTTAGAGTAAGATGCAAGAGGCTTGGATTGAACATTTCTTAAATTTTGAACTTGCACCCCTTAATTTAGGTATATGGATAAATCAAGAAATGACATTTTTACCGATAAATTAGGAATTGAACTTGCACCCCTTAATTTAAGTATATGTTTGGTTTCATTGGAGTTTATAGAGATGCCATTTATGACCATTTACTGAGAGGCCATTTACTATCTTAGTTTAAATGTTTTTTGTTTTTTTTTTGTTTATTGTTCATTATTTTAAATATTTATTGATTTTCACCTCATATTGACACCCAAAAAGCATGTCACATCGGCATTTCATTTTAAGAAATGATGGGGCATTAGGAAAAACGAAATATTTGATGTTTCTCCAAATGTCCCATACACAAATAAACTAAGCATTTTCAGTTTCTTAGTGCTTATTTGATAAATGATGAAACCAAACAGTGGTTTCATATACAATAAATACAAACACCCATGTATACGAAGTCAGTTTTTCAATAAACACCAACAAAATCAAACATCCCGTAAAACTAATCAAAATATTTTTATGAAGGTAATACATAAAGATTGAAAAAATACTAGGCAGCCCTTTTTTTACAACTCAGATTTCCTACCCACAACCACAAGAACTCTATCCACCTTACCCACATGACATGGCAGCCACACAGAAAACATATGTGCTTGCTTATACATTATTATACATGTGGAAATGTTCCCAAACCGCTGCAGTTTTTCGTGGATAGGTGTGAGTAGAAGATCCAAAGTCCTTTTATTATGGGGGCATTAATCCAGAATCCTTTTCAAAATGAACTTTTGTTGAAAAAGAATTGAAAGAAACGTGTAAGAGTCAAGATTTTATTTTGAGCTTTTGGCCAAGGTAAACAGAAATTTTACAAGAATTTGATAAATCTTTTAAATATATAATCTAAAGTCAAACACTTTTAGCCCCAAAAACATAAAGCCTAAAATTGAGATTTTGTGTTGTAAGAACTTTAAAAACACGAATCCTAAAGCTTATCCAAATGTAATGGTAAAATATTCATCTCTTTTCTCTTTTTTTTTTCCTTTTATTAATAAAATTTATTTACTATCAAATAACACAAGGGTAGTCTGATATTTTAAAATATTTAATCGAATATTCTAGGAAGTTAATTGATAGTACGCTAATATGGGCAAAGTGCTGAAAAACAAAAGGCAGAAGTCCAGGGGGGTCTAAGCGTCATTATCCCCCCAATTACAAGGTAGCTGCCAATGATTTAATTTAAAATTTAAAAGAAAGAAAACACTGCAATAATGCCCTATATGGTAAACTAGAGATTTCAAGTTGCAAATTGCAGTTAACTTCTCTCAAGTTGCAATAGTGCCCCTTACCAAGGTTTTACCCTTAACCTCTCTCAAGTTTCTTAATTAATGTGGAAAATGTTGGTATTGTCCTTACATACTTTGAGCTCAGTTTGGAAAGAGTATAAATGCAAATACAAATATGTACAGCTTAAATGCATTCAAAATAATATAAAATATAAGGTTTTACACTTTACATATTTGCATTTGTACTCCTTTCAGACTTGGTGTTTTTTATTTTGTCTATTTGTTTCTATCTCCCTCTACCGCTCAGTTTTATCATTTTAACATATTTCACTTATTAACAAAAAAAACTAAAA